AGCATACTAAAATACAGACCAGCATACTAAAATACAGACCAGCATACTAAAATACAGACCAGCATACTAAAATACAGACGAGCATACTAAAATACATACAGATCAGGAAAGTTCAGTATCACTAGAAGAATGTAAACATTGGAAGAGGCTCAGCCCCAGAGCAATGCTATTTTGTGTAGTATGACCTTCCTTCCTGCTAGAGAAGTTTTTGGACAGCAGCTTAGTCTTAACTTGGTGGCCGTTTATTGTATTCATTATTATTATTTTTGTTTGTTTTATTTATTTATTTTTGTTAGTTTAATTCTATTGTTATTTCTTATTTTATTCTTGTACATTTCTTTTCTTCTTTTCTGTTTCTCCTTTTTTGTTTCCCTCTTCTATCTCCAGTGTTTTGTCTCTTAGGCCACTTTTATTTTTATTGCAATTTATATAATAATAAAGTATACTAGTGACGTAGATCAAAGGAGCTGCGAGGTCTGCTACTTGTGATAGCAGACCTGCCCTCACAACCACTAATAGCAGCCCTCTCTCCAGGTCTATTATTGTAATAGTAGACCTCCCCAATAATAATCCAATGCCCAGATGTGGTTGGGTCGGTCTTCCATCTTGTCTTCTGAGGTGGATGGCCAACTGTAGGACGTTTTGTTTTTATTTTATTATATTTTATTTTGGTTTTTCTTTTCCTATTCTTTGTTCTGTCCCGAGTTTTCATTTCTATTTTTCTTTCCCTATGGGCTTTCCCTTTTTGTCTCTCTTTTGTCTCCTGTAATAATAATGATGATGATGATGATGATGATATTAATAATAATAATAATAATAATAATAATAATAATAATAATAATAATAATAATAATAATAATGATAATAATAATAATAATAATAATGATAATAATAATAATAATAATAATGATGATAATAATAATAATAATAATAATAATAATAATAATGATAATAATAATAATAATAATAATAATAATAATAATAATAATAATGATAATAATAATAATAAT